CCTAAAATTAATATGGAATTACATAAGACCCCAAATAGCCAGAGCAGTCTTGAAAAAGAACAAAACTGGAGGCATCATACTTCCTAATTTCAAAATATATTACAAAGCTACAGTAATCAAAACAGTATCATACTAGCATAAAGATGGATGTATAGACCAATGGAGCAGAAGAGAGACCCCATAAATAAACCCACTCATTTATGATTAACTGATCTTTGACAAGGGTACCAAGAACATAAAATGGGGAAAGGATAGTCTCTTCAACAAATGTGTTGTGTAAACTGGAAATCCACAGGCAAAAGAAGAAAATTGGATCCTATCGTAGACCATGGCCAGAAATCAAAGCAAAATGGATCAAAGACTTAAATATAAATTCTGAAACTGTAAAACTTCTCACAGAAAACATAGGAGGAAAGCTTCTTGGCATTGGTCTTGGCAATGACTTTGTGGTTTGACACCAAAAACAAAGGCAACAGAACCAAAAATAGGCAAGTGGGACTGTATCAAAATAAAAGCTCTGTACAGAAAAGAAAACAATCAACAAAATTAAAAAGCAAGCTGAAGAGACTGAGGCAGGCAGATTGCTTGAGCCCAGGAGCTCGAGACCAGCCTGGACAACATGATAAAACCCCATCTCTACAAAAAAATACAAAAGTAGCTGGGTGTGGTAGCATGCATGTGTAGTCCCAGCTGCTTGGGAGGCCGAGGTGGGAGGATCCATTGAGCCCAGGAGATCGAGGCTACAGTGAGCCATGATTACGCCACTGCATTCCATCCTGGGAAACAGCAGGACCCTGTCTAAAAGAAAAAAAAAAGGTGAGATAAAAGTAAGGAGGCTGAGGCGTAGATCACCTGAGGTCAGGAGTTCAAGACCAGCCTGGCCAACATAGTGAAACCTCTATCTACTAAAAAAAAAATACAAAAGAAAAAAAAAACAGGTGTGGTGGTGCATACCTGTGATCCTAGCTACTTGAGAGGCTGAGGCAGGAGAATTGCTTCAATCTGGGAGCCAGAGGTTACAGTGAGCTGAGATGGCGCACTACACTCCAGCCTGGACCACAGAGTGAGACTCCATGTCCAGAAAACAAAGAAAAATAGAAGTTAAATATTAGCAAAACATCTATCAAGGTAAGAGGTTAATATCCAAAATATATAAGTAACTCATATAACTCAATAGCAAAAAAAAACAAATTTAACCTAATCTTAAAACAAGCAAAAAACAAATAGACATTTCTCCAAAGACGACATACAAATGGCCTCCAGGTATATGGAAAGATGCTGAGTATCATTAATCATGGAAATGCAGATCAAAACCACAGTGAGATATCAACTCACATCTTAGCATATCTGTTATCAAAAATAAATTTAAGGCCAGGCTTGGTGGCTCACGCCTGTGATCCCAACACTTTGGGAGGCTGAAACAGGCAGATTGATTGAGTCTAGGAGTTCAAGACCAGCCTGGCCAACATGGTTAACCCTGTCTCTACTAAAAAATACAAAAAAAGTTAGCTAGGCATGGTGGCGCACACCTGTAGTCCCAGCTGCTCAGGAGGCTGAGGTGAGAGAATCGCCTGAGCCTGAGAAGTTGAGGCTGCAGTGAGACAAGATGGCACCCTGCACTCCAGCCTTGGCAACCGGAGACCCTGTCTCTAAAATAGACATTTGTGAGGATGTAGAAAAGTTGGAGCTTTTATACAACTGTTTGTGGGAGTGTAAAATGGTGCAGCCACTGTGGAAAGCAATATGGAGATTCATTAAAAATAGTACTGCTGTATGATCCAGTAATGGAATATTTCTGGATATGTATACAAAAAGGTTGTAATCAGGATCTCAAAGATATCTGCACACCCACGTTCAGTGCACCATTATTCACATTAGCCAATATAAGAAAACAATACAAATGTCCATCAAGAGATGAATAAAGAAAATGTGATATATACATGCAATGGAAAAATATTAAGCCTTAAAAATAAAGAGAAATCCTACTGTATGCAACAACCTGGATGAACCCACAGGACATTATGCTACGTGAAAAAGTCAGTCACAGAAGGATACATACTGCATGACTCCACTTACGTGAGGTATCTAAAATAGTCAAACTCCCAGAAGCAGAGAATAAAACGGTGATTGCTAGGGCTGTAGGGAGGGAAAAATGGAAAATTGTTAATGAGTATAAAATTTCTGTTCTGCAAGATGAAAAATTTCTAGAGATCTGTTGTAAAGCATAGTACCTATTAGGATTGTGTTGAGTCTGTTGATCAATTTTGGGAGAATTGACATGTTTACAGTATTGAAACTTCCAGCCAACAGATGTGGAATTCCATTTACTTAGATCTTGTTAGATTTACTTCAACAATGTTTTGTGGTTTTCAATGTACAGCATTGATACTTCTGTTCAGTTGATTCCTAAATATTTTGTATTTTTGATACTACTGTAAACAGTGCTTTTTAAAATTTTAATTTCCAAATGTTCATTGCTAGCGTGTAGAAATACAATTGATTTTTATATATTGACCTTGTATCATGTGACCTTACTCAACTCATTAACCTTACTAAACTCATAGTAGCTTTTTTTAGATTCCTTAGAATTTTTGTGTAAATGATCATGTAATTGGCAAATTAGGACACTTCTGCTTCTTCCTTTCTAATCCATATTCTTTTTATTGATAAATAGTTTTATGGAGTATAGTTTTAATAGCTGATTTAAATTCATTCCCTAAATCCTTCATCTGCCATTTCTGAGTATATTTCTGTTGATGGATTTTTCTCCTAGTTGTGAGCCATGTTTCCTTACCACTGTGTGGACTCTACTGCTTTCCAGCGGTACTCTCTTCTTCAGCCTTGTAGTTTTGCCCCACATGTGTACAAATCATTACTCAGCCAAAAACCTGGGTAATATGAAGTCTTTGCAAATCTGTGAAGCTCTCTCTGTACATTTCCTTTGTCTTTGGTACTCTGCCCTAAAATTCTAGACTGCAAACTCCCTAAAATCTCTGTCTCCTCCACTCAGACTACCAGGCTATGTTGTAACCTGAAAACTCTCTCCAGGCCATAATCTCAGGCAATTATAGTACACACTTCATTTTTTCCCCATCTTCCAGGATCAGAGTCCTATATTGCTTATTGTCCAGTGTCTGAAAACAATTATTTTATGTTTTGTCTAGTTTTATAGTTGTTTACAGAGGGAAGGCAGTTGTCCTTGTTTAATTCTTTGTAAAAGAAGTAAAAGTCTCTTCCATATGTATTTTAATACCACCAAATAAATGAAAGTTGAGTTGAAAGGAGGAAAGTACTGAGATTGTATGACAGCCTGAGTATTATATTAGGAATTGAGTGTGATATATTTTTTCTACTTTATATAAAACCTTATATTCTCCAAAGCCAAATATCCACTTTTATGGATACTTGTCCTTCACAGCACTGAATCACTATTGTGTCCCTAATATATAGCACAGTTCCTGGTACTTCGTAGGCCCTCAGGGAATTGTCGGTTAAATGAATAAACGAATTAATGATTATTCCTCAAGCTAAATTTTAGAATCATTGGGCTTTTCAGTGCAATTAAGGTGATTTACTTGAGAAAATGTGACATACCATCAAGAAATGGTATTTTCGGGCCAGACATGGTATTTCATACCTATAATCTCAGCCCTTTGAGAGTCCAGTATGGGAGGATTACTTGAGCCCACAAGTTCAAGACCAGCCTGAGGAACATAGCAAGACCTTATCTCTACAAAATATTACAAATTATCCACATATTGTGGCACATGCCTGTGGTCCCAGCTACTCAGGAGGCTGAACTGGAAGGATCACTTAAGCCCAAGAGGTTGAGGCTGCAGTGAGCCATGATCATACCACTACACTCCAACCTGAACAACAGAGTGAGACACTGTCTCCAAAAAAAAAAAAAAAAGAAAAGGTATTTTTCATTTATTTAAATCTTGTATCACTGTTGTAGATGATATATTTTTTAATTAAAATTATCCCATTTTATGTTATAAATGGAATCTCTAGTTGGTTATTATTGGACTCAGGAGTTTATCTTTATCCATTTGTTGTTCTCCTTTTTATTTACAATTTTACTATTAGAAAACTATATGTTTTGTAGCTAAAATTATCTAAAACCAAAAGATTTTTACATCATTTTCTTTTTTAGGTAGAGTCTGTCTCCCAGGCTGGAGTGCAGTGGCACGATCTCGGCTCACTGCAACCTCCGCCTCCCGGTTCAGCTGGGATTACAGGTGTATGCCACCATGCCCAGCCAATTTTTGTATTTTCAGTAGAGACAAGGTCTCGCCATGTTGGCCAGGCTGGTCTTGAACTCCTGGCCTCAAGCGATCCCCTGGCGTTGGTCTCCCAAAGTGCCAGCCAGGACTACAGGTGTGAGCCACCGCACCTAGCCTTACATAGTTTTCTACTTCCCTTGTTCATAAGCTATATAGTTTGATCATAAAACTGGAGAAGGTTCTCTTTAGATTTTAGTTAAGGAATATTTCTTACTGAGTACGTATCTTCAGGGCAGTGATTTACCCTGGAGCATTTAACATGTTAACTAAATTAACTGGTTTGAGGAAATGTTTATATTGTAATTATCATCTCTGTAAAATTTAGAGCTTATATAGTTTGTCATATGTCATTGTGTTATTTATCCCTAAACCCTATAAGGTAGGTATTGTTACTACTGATGAAGAATTGAGTCTCAGGCACATTAAGAGACTTTTCCATGGTCATTATAATATTGAGTTCCTGAACTAATCTTTATACCGTAGTCCTGGTTTTTTTAAAGCTTTTGCCACTTCTCCTGTATCATGTTGCTTTGTATGTATAAATAAATCTGAATGTATGTATAAAGAAATCTGAAAGTACTTAACTGGATTCTAAGTGAGTTATAAAATAGAAACCTTGCTAGAATATCCCCTTTGCATATTCTTATTTTTTATATTTACATTTTTTTAAGTATAAATTATTTAGAAAATCATTTTAAATTATTTTTCTTGTAGGAACCTTCAGAAGTTTAGTCTTTTTGGAGACATAAGTGTTCTACAACAGCAAGGAAGTTTGTCAAATACATACCTCAGCAAGGTGGACCCTGATGGCAAAAAAATTAAACAGTAAGTTACATGGTTAATGGAAAGGAGGTTGTACTATTTATTAATAATGTGTTTTTTCTAATAAATTATGAGATACAAACAGAAGAGTAATGATTTTTTTCCTGAAAGGAACATAGGTCCTGGAAATGTTTTAATGATAAAATACAGTGATCAGCATCTGCCATTCCATCTCATAAATCTTTAAGACAAATCAAATAACTTAGTGAATAATTATTGCTATTTAAAATTATTTCCCTACTTGCCTTTGCTATAACATAAACCGTATGTCATCATACTTTTCTACTAAACGGGTATAAGTGGTGCTTTTCGTGGATGAGGAGCATATTTCTGTGTGTTTAATAGATCTGTGTGTTTAATATACCTTTTCATTACATTTTAATGTGAATTTTAATGGTATTTACTGTGGGTTGAATAGAAATTACCTAATGAGGAAAAATAGATCTCAAAATTGCATGCTTTTCATGGCCTGTTTTCAAAAGTCAGTGTTAAAAGATTAGAACTGAATGTTAATGGGATCACCGTGGCATGTGTTTTCCTTATAGAATTCAGCAACTGTTTGAAGAAATCCTGAGTAATAGTAGGCAACTGAAATGGCTGTCCTGTGGGTTTATGCTGGAAATAGTAACGCCAACATCACTGTCATCTCTCTCTAATGCTGTTGCCAACACCATGGAGCACCTGAGTTTACTTGACAATAATATTCCTGGTAACAGCAGTCTTATTACTGCAGTTGAACTGGAGCGATTCGTGAATCTGCACTCACTTGCCTTGGATTTTTGTGACTTTACAGCTGAGATGGCAAGAGTCTTAACTGATAGCAACCATGTGCCTTTGCAGCGACTGTCTCTTCTGGTTCACAATGTTTCCATAATGCACAAGTCTCTGGACAACATGCCAAATGATGAGCATTGGAAAGCCCTGTCACGAAAGAGCACCAACCTTCGGGTCTATATAATGGCTTTTGATATCAAGAGTGAAGATATGTTAAAGATTCTGAAACCCAGTATACCACTAGAGAGGATTCATTTCGATAGCTATATCACTTGTGTTTCAGGGGCTATTGTTGATCTTATATCCAGGCAATATGACAAGTTCCTCACTCATTTTATTTTAATGAATGATGTGATTGACACGTCTGGTTTTCCAGATCTTAGTGACAACCGAAATGAAGATCCGTTGGTTTTATTAGCATGGAGGTGCACAAAGCTCTCTCTTCTGGCAATTCATGGTAGGTGATTTTGTTCATTATAATCTAATACTGGAATTACACTGAAAACATTTTATGCCAGTAAAGAGATAGCACTAACCTTTATAGTATCAAGAAATCTTGTATCAACTTGATATGCAGATTCTTATGCTTTCTAAAGCTTGCAAGATGTATCACTTACAAAAGGAAAATCATATTTAACCCTAAGTGTTCTGCTCCAGCTTCCCTGTTACTTTTTTGTCCATCATATGAATGGCGGTATTTCAAAAAAAAAAAAAAATCAGTGAAATTAATTTAACTGTCTAAGAAAGCACACATACCTGTGGTAGATACATTTCCTCTAATCACTCGACCCCTTAAAACATAGCGTGGGGGAAGAGAACGTATTATTTCTTTCATGCTCACTACCTCATCTTTTAGGTTCTTGGTATCAAAGTATTAATGTGTGTAATTTTTTTAACGATTGGTTCCATTGATATGCTTCTTTCATTTTAATGTGACCTGTTCTCATTTGGATCAAGAGTTGGTATTCTGACAAATAAATTTACTTCCTTTTTGGATACTTGTAAGATAATTACAAAGTAGTCTATAAGAATGTCTTAAACTCTCTTATTAGCTATCTTACCAGCACTGTTTCATTTTTTTTTTTAGCGTCCCTTTGTATTTGGGAATATATGTCTTGCTTTTCAAGTCTTGCTTTATGCCAGTCGTCAGAGGTGGTAGAAAAGACTAGATCAATCCTGAAAGTGGTAAACACAGTGGGGTAAAGACATATCAGGTTATTTAAAAGTTAATTTAAGCCAGTCTTTTTAAAGCCTTTTTCTTCTTTAAGCTAAAGCTCCCCACATTCATCCCCCTTTATTCCTTCCCAGTAGTAGTTATTCTGAAGTTGGTATATATCATTCCATGATTGTTTTATAATTTACATATTTGCTACTGACCATTAACAGTTTACCTTTAAAGTGTCACTTCGTAACTTTGTGAAGCATTATAAGAGATGATTTTTCGCAAATGAAAAATACATTTACCATATGTGGTTAACAGATACGTGTATTTTCGCAAATGAAAAATACATTTACCATATGTGGTTAACAGATACGTGTATATATGAACTAAAAATTTCATCCTTATGGTACATTGTTACCCAAAGCTGTAAAATTTATTTGTATATACTTTAAATGTCTGTTTTACTGGATCTAATCCTTTATGATACTACTTCATAGATTGGTACTCTTGAACACAACTTGTAGCCTTTTTCTTTTCTGGGCTATAAACCATGTTTCCTATTCCAATTTCAATATATTTCTAAAGGAAAAAGACCAAAATGGTAAGTGAGATACAAATTTGAAGCTTCTCTAGAAGCTTTGAATGAGGAAAAGACAGACTTATCAAAGAGAAAAGGAAATGACAGTGTTGTCTTTTGTTTATATTTCAGGTTACACGGTGTGGGCACACAACCTCATTGCCATTGCTCGTCTTCGGGGCTCTGATCTGAAAGTGCTTGAAGTCACCGAAGAAAGCATTGATTTTGACCAAGGTGAACTGGCCGACCAGGATGTAGATCCAGTGCATAACCTTATTGAGCAGGTATCCCTGGGCCTGGGTCAACCTTGGCACGCAGTCATGGACATCGAATCACTCAGTGTCTTCACTGAACCAAATCGTCATTTTTACAGAGAGATGCAAAGCTTCAGTGAAGACATATAGCTTTTTTTTAAATGTAGAATTCCTGTGATTACATATGCAAGTAGGGTCCTATTATGTTTTTTTTTTCAGTAGTGTGAATTAATCCTTTTGTGCTGTGTTTAATCAGTATTAGCTTTATAGAATTATATATGTATATTCTACTTCTTGATCAAAGAACGTAGTCGGGTATTGGTTTAGAAGTTCAAAGTGACAATGTATAGGGCTTTCACGGTTAATGGACTTGTTACCAAACCTTAAGGATATACAGCCGAAGATTGTCTGGGGTTGCTGGCTAACTTTATTTTTCACTGAATTACTCTGCCTTTTCGACGTTTTTATTCTTTGTGTGTCAGAGTTCAGAGCTCAGGAGCCAAAATATTTTTATACATACATAGATATATATCCATAGCCTGGTAGATTTATATGCAATGCACTGCATCCATGCATTCTGATAGCATTTCATTAATTTTGATTTCAAATGGAAGATAAATAATATCCCAAATGAATTATCTGTAACACAAAAGCCAAGACTTTAACTTTCATTAATATCTAATAGTCGGTATCACCAGTTACCATTTTGAATTTTGTATAGTACTAGAACATTGCTTAATCCTTTTTTTAAAAAAAAAAAAAATGCATTTACATAAACATGAACACTGAAATCGTTGGATTTTTTTTAACTATATCTGACATAATTTTATTCATCAATTACATTACACATTCATTTAGCCTAGATTTCAAATAGTGGGGGAAGAAAGAAACTGTATTTCAGAGTAAAACCTCCTAAAGGAAATAAAAATACAGAGTTGTAAATACACATGCTTGCAAAAACATTAGTCGTGAAATCCCTAACAACAAGTCACTGGATTTTTCTCTGTCAGCACGCGTGTCAGCTGCCAAAGAATAGACTTAATGAAGAAGTGCCCACATGCTGGCAGGGGCCGGCCCACTCTGGCCAGCCAGATACTGCTAGATTGTAATATTTAAGGTCGAATTTCGACCTGTGGTACACAGCTGTGCTGTGGCTCAGTCAGCAACCTCAGAACTCTGAAAAAACAAAACAAAAAAAAAAAAGAAAAAAAAAAAACATGCACCTGTTTCACTGTGAATAGTGAATGTAAAGGAAAGAAAGGAAAAACTGAAAGCTTGTTCTATCACAGGTATGAGCTGCTATGATACATGAAGAACATTCCATGAAGTATGTTTTAAAACCTTGTTATATCTGAGAGGCTTTAAAAGCCTATTAACTGTTTCAGGGCAACCGCGGTACAGACGTGGTCTCTGTGAGACTTCCACCTGACCCCAGTTTTAAGTGGTACGAATGTTGTGCATTTAATGTTAAAGGACAGTCTGCAATAATAAAGTAAGTAGCCAACCTGGGTGCCCAGCAGTGCTGAGACCTGGCTGCTCTATTGTAAGCTTTGGAAACACAATTTATGCAACAGATGTCCAGATATGATTCTATTTATGGAAAAAAGTTTATATGTGTTTTACAAATGGTTTTACCATCTTATATTAAAATGACCTTTTGACAGGTGTGCACTGTTTTGTCTCCAGTGAGCACATACCATGCGGATTTTATATGTACATCAGTAGTGTGAATCCACTGGCACAGTGTGTGTAAATGCCAGATGTGGTGAGATTTTATCTTATAAATGTGATCAGATAAAATAACTCCTGACAGAAACTGTAAGGAAACCAGCTGAATGTTTGACCTGATGACTGATGTTGTATGGTTTATGTTAAATGTATATTCTTTTAATCAATGAATAAAGCATTAAAAATGATCATTGTAATATATTTTATTGTATATGAAGCATGACTACTTTTAGTGTTAAATAAACTGCAATAATCCTTATATTGTGTATAATAATGTGTTAGTATTCTGGTTGTATTCTGGTGCAGCAAAGCTTAAATTTGAGAATACATTATAAAAAGTCTTAGCTGAATAGTTTGGAGAATTTTTTTACAAAAATTCACTTTGACAAAATACAAGCTTAAAAACAAACACTGGATTTCTTAGCCCAAAATCTCAATATATTATGCACCTAGAATACATTATCAATATAGTAAAACTTAATTTATAGACTAGAGGGGCTGTTTTTTAAAAGATACCAAATGCAGAAATACTTAGATATGCTAATATTAAATTCTTCATAAACCCCTATATTCCTTTATTTTGGTATTCTAATCTCTGTTCTTGGTTGTTGAGACTCACAGCTCTTATTTATAGGAAACAAAAGGACTACTTTTCTTCCTTCCATCTTCCCTTCCTTATCATTCCAGATATTGACTCTTCCAGGTACTGCTTTATCTTGGAATAATCTGGTGTTCACAAATAATTGTCCTTAAACTTACCACTTCATTACTTCCTGGACACATCTAACTCCTTTGAATGAATCAACAAGTTTAAGTATATATTTAAGACATACCCAAAATGTATGAAAAAGGAAAATCTAATGTGAATAGCATGCAAGTTAAGGTCATTGTAGTGAAGCTCTAAATTTTGGAGGCTTGACATCTGTTTTCTAGTCTAAGCTCTGGCTCTACTCGACCACAAACACCTCTTTCAGTTTTGGTTTCCTCATCTTTAAAATGAAGGATTGGACTTGTCTAGCTAAAATTCCGATTCTTCATTGAAATTTTCCGTTGCTGTTAGCTCAGTAGCCCACAGATACACGAGATCATCTTTAAACAAAGGTATTAAATATTTTCAAAACATAGCTTATTAAACTATATGAAATTTATGTATCTATCTAAAATTACTTTCCATTTCCCCGCCACAAAGATGCAGAAATTGAACACAAAGATGCAGGAACTTGCTTGGGACTTAAAGCATGAATCAGATTGGATCCTTATGAAGCCAGTAACATAACACAGTGCTAATGGAGTAACGTAGCACATGTGAATGATACCCAGGGAACATACCACATTGTATCAGTGTTTCCCAACCTTTGTCATGCTGTAGCACACATAGAAAATATTGTACAGCATACTGGTATAAACCAGAAAGAATTAGAGAAAAATTACTTTTTTTAAATTAAATGATGAAAAATGTAGATGATTTGAGGAAAAAATACTGAATTTGGAACTTTCAAGTAAAATCTTGCCAGATGTTTTAATTGATTTAATTAACATTTGATTAAAATGTTTTAATACTGTCACCAATGAGAAACACCCCACAAACAGGTAATTTTTAGGTCTTTTTAAAAAATAACCCATAATTTATGCAGTTGAAACTAAGAAATTTAACGCTGCTTTTTCTTTCTTTGGGAAATAATGTTGTGAGTTAATTTTAAATTCAAATTGATGTTTGTTAGAATTATTTTAAAATCATGATGCTCTAATTTGTGATCTCCCTTACATAATCCTACTGTTAGGTGAGACACCACTGAAGAGTAAACAGCCACCAACTTTATATATATGTGAAGGCAATTAGAGGCTGCAGGGAGCCCTCCTCCCACCTCCAGCTCCCAACCCTTTCAAATCCAACTAGCCACACCTGGGGGCCTCACACTTGGGGTTCCTTCCTGCTCTTTGAACACCTGGAACGTATTGCTTTCACAGCTTTGTAGACCGCCCCTCCTTTTCTGTGATGGACAGTGATTTTCATCTGGCCAGGAGTAGTGAGTAAGTGAGTTTGCTCTATCTGGGGCCTACTTTCAGATTCAGCTCCACTCCCACTGCTCAGAAGAAGAGCCTGAAAGCATCAGAAGGCAACCAACCCAGGCTCCAGCCACCCCAGGACTCATTAAGTGTCCTTGCGGGGTATCACCTCTGGTACAGTATACTAATAAATTTGGTTTGCTGGTTGTGGAAAGAAATGGATGATGTATCATAAGTAAGTTTTCAGGATACTTGAATCATCCTTTCTGAAAGATTTTTTAAAAGGGCAAGATACACCATGTGTTGGCAAGGAAGAGGAAACAGCTGGAACTTGATATATCCATTTTGGAAAGCAAACTTGCAGTATCTTGTAAAGTTGAAGTTGCCTGTGCCCTGTAACCCAGAATTTTCACTTTTAGATGTATTCTCTAATCCCATGTTTTCTAACTTGTTTTTCTAGCCCCTAAAAATGTACCCCTTTGCATATTTTTAAGTTAAACATATAACAGTCATAATCTTAGCAGCTATAAACATTAGCAGTTTAAATTATATACATGACTTCTTAAAATATATATAATGGAATCTAAATGCTATAGGAATTTAGTATTTACAATCTTTTTTTTTTTTTTTTTTTGACAGAGTCTCACTCTGTCACCCAGGCTGGAGTGCAGTGGTGCAATCTCAGCTCACTGCATCCTCCACCTCCTGGGCCTACCAAGTAGCTGGGTCTACAGGCATATGCCACCAAGCCTAGCTAACTTTTGTATTTAGTAGAGTCGGGGTTTTATCATGTTGGCCAGGCTGGTCTTGAACTCCTGACCCCAAGCGATCCTCCCACCTTTGCCTCCCAAAGTGCTGGAATTACAGGCATGAGCTACCGCACCCAGCCTACTTACCATCTGTTTTTAAAAAGCAATTCACTCTTGATCACTAGAAATTTTGTCATTCATTTTCCTCCTTAAGCTTATATATTCTGTCAGTTATCAGTTTATTTGCCTTTTAGCTCTGAATGCATCCTTCAGTATATACTCTCTCATAATGAAAAACAAAAAACATTCACACCCTCTTCACAAGAGTGCTTACCTATGAGGCAGGCATGACGACAAGGATCAGTATGGATGGGCATGAAGGTCATTTTATCTGTAACTGGGCATGGGCATTCGTTATATTTTGTTATTTCCTATTTTTAAAAATAATTTGTAATTTACTGATCCAAGTTGCCAACAAATGAATGTTCATGGACTGACTTGTTTCATAATCCTGAGTCTAAAGCCAACTGTTTTAGTCCATTTTGTGCTATTACAGAAGATCTGAAACTGGGTAATTTATAAAGAATACTAATTGATTTCTCAGAGTTCTGGAGGCTGGGAGGCCCAAGATCAAGACACCAGCAGGTTTGGTGTCAGGTGAGGGCCCTATCTCCACCTCCAAGATGGCACCTTGAATGCAACATCCTCCAAAGCAACATTGTATGATATGGCAGAGGAGATAGCGCTAATCTACTTTTGTAAGCACTTTTTATAGGGGCAATCAACAATCCATTATTGAGGGTGAAGCCCTCATGACCTAAACTTCTATAAGACCCCACTTTCCAACTCTTGTATTGGGGATTAAACTATGAATTTTGGAGGGGGACACATTCAAACCATAGCAGAGACCAAGGCAGGAGGACAGAGTATTGCTTTCTATCTTTTCATGCATTACTGAATCACGGTAACTTGAAAGAGACTCATAGATCTACTGAGAGTTTAAGGCCTAGTTGTTTGTAGGAAAGTTCTAAATAGATTTTTCAAAATATGTCACTGTGTGGGGGAAAAGGGGAGATACTGGTCAAAGGGTACAAACTTCCAATTATAAAATTAATAAATTCTGGAGATTTAATTTACAGTAGGGTGATGTGTTAATAATGTATATTTGAAATTTGCTAAGAGTAGATTTCAGGTGTTCTCACCACACCAAAAATGGTAACTATATGAGGTGATAGATATTTTAATTAGCTTGAGTATTGTAATCATTTCACAGTATATACGTATATCAAAACACATTGTGTACCTTAAATATATGCAAGTTTTGCCAATTACACCTCAATAAAGCTGCAAAATGGCACTGTAATTGACTCTACCATATTTCAGTTTAAAGCACTATTGGCATTAGATTAATACTTATTTAATACGGACATTATATCCAACAACCTCACCTATTTGAAGTGTAGCCAAGGATCCAGAAATAAGTATAAAAGACTCGTGGCGCTGGATTAGTCCCTGACTAATGGGTAAAGGTGTCACACTCAGAAGAGCCATTTCCAATTCCTTCTAGCTCACTTTGTCTTCTTTTCAGCATAATTCTAATAAACCTGTTCATCAGGTTTCTCAGTCTACAGTGGATTAGAAAGGGAAGAGAAGGAAGTGACTGTGAAAGGTATGGAAGCTTACACATTCATGAAAGCGAGAACATAATCAGTCTTAGGCCATTTTGGTGTTTGAAACAGACGTCAACACCCCTATAACAAGCCTAAAATACAGGGCAATGGTATTTGTAATGAACTTGAATCCATATAAAAATATTACACTGTGTTCAGAATATTGGGATAAATTAATGGAGCATTTAATACATTTTAGAAATACTTCTACTGAAGACGGCTAAAATAAAAAATATGTATTTAAAAGACTAGCTTTTAGCTACAAAATACACACTTAAGGCCAGGCATGGTGGCTCATGCCTGTAATCCCAGCACTTTGGGAGGCCGAGGCAGGCGGATCACCTGAGGTCAGGAGTTGGAGACCAGCCTGGCCAACATGGCGAAACCCCATCTCTACTAAAAGTACAAAAATTAGTTGGGCATGGTGGCAGACAACTGTAATCCCAGCTACTCAGGAGGTGGAGGCAGGAGAAGCTTGAACCCGGGAGGCAGAGGTTGCAGTGAGCCGAGATCGCACCACTACACTCCAGCCTGGGTGACAAAAGCCAGACTCCATCTCAAAAAAAAAAAAAAAAAAAAAAAAAATCACTTAAGTAAATTCTCTAAGAAACAATGTTAATAAATTGGCTAAGAAATGCCATAACTTATATGTATTAAATATTTACTATGCGCAAAGCACTATTTTGAGCATTTCACAAACAAGTATTTTGTCATTTAATTCTCACAGCAACCTTTGAGTAGATATCATTTCATTTCACGTATAAGGAAACAGGCATAGAAAAATTAACAATTGTGTCTAAGGTCGTAAAGCCAGTAAGAGTTTGGGTAGAATTTAAACCCAGATGATAGAACTCCTTCATTATATGAAACTGCCCTTGGTATATTTATCAGTATCACCAAATCTATGGAATAACAAAGCAACAGAATGATCATCATGTAAGTGTATGAATTTATGCCTAACACATCTAACACATACAAAGTGTGTGTGTGTACTATATAACCTAATCTATGCATATAATTTTATTCTAATCTTTAATAAGAAATACATAATTGGCCAGGCGCAGTGGCTCACGCCTGTAATCTCAGCACTTTGGGAGGCTGAAGCAGGCAGATCACAAGGTCAAGAGATCGAGACCATCCTGGTCAACATGGTGAAACCCCCATCTCTACTAAAACTACAAAAATTAGCTGAGCATGGTGGCGTAAGCCTATAGTCCCAACTACTCTGGAGGCTGAGGCAGGAGAATCGCTTGAACCCTGGAGGCAGAAGTTGCAGTGAGCCAAGATCACAGCACTGCACTTCAGCCTCGTGACAGTGAGACTGCATCTCAAAAAAAAAAAAAAAAAAAAAAAAGAATACATAGTTGGTATGTGATTAGCCAATTGTTAGACAAGACAGTTCTAAAATTGGAATAGGCACTGCACTATAGTTGTAATTATTTCTGAAAGCTAAGAACTACTCAACTGAGGTGACATTATTAAAGATTTTCAAGCGTTTTTTGTTTTGTTTTGTTTTGAGACGGAATCTCACCCTGTCACCAGGCTGGACTACAGTGGCGCGATCTCAGCTCACTGCAACCTGGGCCTCCCAGGTTCAAGCGATTCTCATTCCTCAGCCTCCAGAGTAGCTGGGACTACAGGCACACACCACCACACCCAGCTAATTTTTGTATTTTTAGTAGAGACGGGGTTTCAACATGTTGGCAGGATGGTATCGATCTCCTAACCTCATGATCCACCCACTTCGGCCTCCCAAAGTGCTGAGGTTACAGGCGTGAGCCACCACACCTGACCTGAAGTGGTCTTATACATAATTGTGGTCAATATATAATTGTGGTCCTATATAAATATTATCTTGGCTATATATGTGGACCCAACAAATAGAAGACATTTTTTAAAGGCTAATTAATTTGCGTTTTGTTAATACCTAAGCTGACTGAATTGATCATGTTTTCCACTAAATTAATAAAATCAACAGACTATTTTGGCATCGTGTCATAAAGTTCACAGATCGCCTTTCTGCCGGAACCGCCATGTTCCAGTAATTCGCCAAAATGACTAACACAAAGGGAAAGAGGAGAGGCACCCGATATATGTTCTCTAGGCCTTTTAGAAAACATGGAGTTGTTCCTTTGGCCACGTATATGCGAATCTATAAGAAAGGTGATATCGTAGACATCAAGGGAATGGGTACTGTTCAAAAAGGAATGCCCCACAAGTGTTACCATGGCAAAACTGGAAGAGTCTACAATGTTACCCAGCATGCTGTTGGCATTGTTGTAAACAAACAAGGGCAAGATTCTTGCCAAGAGAATTAATGTGTGTATTGAGCACACTAAGCACTCTAAGAGCCAAGATAGCTTCCTGAAACGCGTGAAGGAAAATGATCAGAAAAAGAAAGAAGCCAAAGAGAAAGGTACCTGGGTTCAACTGAAGCGCCAGCCTGTTCCACCCAGAGAAGCACGCTTTTTGAGAACCAATGGGAAGGAGCCTGAGCTGCTGGAACCTATTCCTTATGAATTCATGGCATAATAGGTGTTAAAATAAATAAATAAATAAAAGACTTCTGGGCTGGAGAAAAAAAAAAAAAAGTTGACTGATCAAACTTTTTCAGATCTACATAGTTACCTTATTTTTTTCCTCCAAAATACTCTTTTGACATAGTAGATTCTTTGATAATATATAACAATTATACTATAATCTTACTAAAACACTATGTAAGCTAGACTTTAAGATTTTTTTGCATGGATTTAAAGACAAAAGTAAAACAGACACTCTGAGGATACTATTTGGACCTTATTTAGATACTGATTCAAACAAAAAAAAAAATTTAAAGACAATTGCACAATTGCAAAAATATGAATGGATCTTTATGATATTAAGTTCCTGGATGTTAGGTGGTATTTGATGATATTAGGAAATTATTGGGATTTTAAAGGGTGGAGACTGGTATTGTAGTTATGTTTGTTGTTTGCTTAAGGGTCCTTATCTTATAGAAATATACTCTGGATTCCAGCCCAGTCACATTACTAGTTTTGTCTGTGGCAGGAATTTTAACAGCTGTGCTGCCTAATCACTGGATACAAAGCCACTACAAATAGGTATGAAAACTTTTTAAAAGCTAATGCATAATGCATTGTACAAATTCAACACATGACTAAATACCATGTAATCTGTTAGAATATACATGAAATTAAAGCATCAAAACTAGCTTTGGAGTTGAAACATACAGGAAGAAATCATTTTAATTTACATATTTCCAAGCTCTGCTGCACCTGAATATTCTGGAACATACAGGTCACATTTAGCCTCATAGGATAAATGTTAACATTGTCACTAGAATTTTTCAACATTGTCACTAGAATTTTTCTGGCTTACTAGAGCATTCCAGACAGAATTTTAAATATTTTCAAATATTAAAATATTTTAAATCTTCTGTAATGCTGTTTTAAATAGTTTGAACTGAAGGTAATCTAGGATGGGTGTTTTCTAGCACAAGAAAAATCCCATTCCCAGTAAATCCTCACCTTTGAAGGAAGATAAATAGCATTTCATGCAAGGATTCCTAAGTCACACTCAAATCCAGAAAAGTAACCTGAGAGAAGGATTCTCTTTGTATGTAGCCAAATTATGCTGCTTGTTTGTAAGACATACCCACAGCACAGCCTACTGAGAAACAGATTAATGCAAAGGTCTCCTAAAACTTAGCGGCAGCATATCAGTCAAGTAAGCTAAGTGAGAGGAAAAAAAGTAAAACATAGTCCGAGACAGACTGATACTCATTCCCTTTTGATAAAATTTCTCTTACTAGAACAATGCCAGAAAGATTCATCAAATCTAAGCAGGAAGGTTCTCACTCACTCTGAGGTTAATCCCCTTAAATAAAAATATATTTCTCTATTTTGTCATAAAACTTTTATACCCATGGAGGAGGAAACCATGCCAGAGGATGTTTGGCTTGGAAGAAGCACTGCAAGGCTTAAATTTATCAGAAAGGGATGACATGGTTTTCAGGCATTTCATGGACACTTTTTTTTTTTTAGCCTTCCCAAATGTATCGCAAAGGTTTCTAAATTGAAAGTGTTAAGCGACTTCCATACATACTTGATGTAAACTGTGAAAATTTCCACAACTCTGTCTACATTCACTCTCCACATAATTTCATCCACTGGCATGGTTACCTGTAAGCTGATGACTCCCAGATTATTTTCCCCGGCCCTAAAGTGCCTTCCTCCACAAGCTCCAGACTCAGAGTTTACTTCCTTCTTAGTAATCTCCACTTGGATGTCTAAATGGGCCTCTCCAACTTAATAGGGCAATCTCTAGTCTGTATTCTTCAATAGATTTCTCTATTCTTGATTTTCACCCCCTCCAGAACTTTTCTCCCCAGTTTTTCCCATTTCCATAAATGGCATTATTGTTCACCCAATTGCCCAAATCAAAAACCAAAAGTCACTCCTGATCCCTTTTTTCTCTCACTCTCTACATCTAATCCACCAGCAACTCCTTGGCTATAACTTTAAAATACATCCTAAAGTCATCCACTTCTCTTCCTTCTCCATCTCTTCTTGCCGCCATTGTCTCTCAGCTGTACTACTTTAATAGTCTTTCAGTTTATTTCTTTACTTTCCATCTTTCTCCCCTTAAAGTTCATTCTCCACACACAAATAAAAGTGATTTTCATTTTACATGTTGTTAGGTCACATAAAAGTATTCCACTGGCATCTTGTTCTTAGAATAAAATACTAACTTCCTAACATGGCCTTCAAGACAAGCATAACCTATCTCTCATACAGATACTGGAAAAAAGAAAAAAAAAAGATAGGCACGACCTGGCTCTGTCTCCTTCTTGACCTGATCTCTCAGGCTCTCCTGTGCTCACTCCACTCCATATCATACCAGCCATCTTTCTTTCCCTGAAAATGAAAGCCCATTTCTTTCTGCACAGCGCCATATTTATACTTGTTTCCTATTTGTGGAATGCTATCCTATCCATGTTCACATTCTTTTTTATTATTCACAACTCAGCTAAAAAAATTCACCACCTCAAAGCAGCTTTTTGGAGCACATTCTATTATTACCTGTTTTCATTTTCTTTGGCATGCACTATTTGCAAGTGCCTTTTTAACATATCCATTGTTAAAATCTGTCTTCCCGCTATTAACAGAATGTAAGGTCCCACAAGAGCAGACCTTGTCCGTCTTGTTCCTGTCTCCTGTGCACTTAGAACATGCCTAGTGAGAGGTGACAACGTGCCAGCAGCCCTGGATCGCTCCCGGCTCTGGCTGCGTTTGAGGAGCCCATAAGCCTGACGCTGCACTGTGGGGCCCCTCTCTGGAGCTGGCCCAGTCCGGA